GACGCCCTCGCCTCCCTCCGCGGTGAGCCGCCGATGGCCCGCTGTTCCGCCTTGCGTGGCTGTTTTCTATTCCTCTGTCCCCCGTCCCCGCCTTCCTGCCCCCAGCCCAGGCCCAGACTCTACCTTCCCTCTACTCTCTCGAGAACCCGGGTCCCAGCCGGGCCTCTGTCAGTCCGTCCATGTCCCCGGCCTTTGCACAGTGGCCTCACGCCAGTGCCTGCACACTTCTGAGGTCAGCGGATGCCCCCTTCACTCTGTCACTGTGGACTTGGGTGGCACTGGCCAGGGAGGCCTGCTCTGGCGCTGGTCCCGGGTCGGAAGTGCAGCGTCCCAGGACCCTTCTTGTAGTCTGCTGGCGCCAAGCCTAGAAGCGATTACCTGGACAAGCCGCAAAGTGCAGGGCCGAGCGCAGTGTCCGGCTTCTCTTTTCCTGTGCTGTAAAATGGGATTGTCTGTGGGGTAAAGGCGCTGAAATGTGGTCAGGACTGCTTCAGCCTGAAGCCTGCCCTGCACCCCAGCGCCTCAGCTCTGCACCCGTGCTCTGCAGCCCCAAGGCTGTGGGATGTGCTCCAGGCAGACCTGCTGTCACTGAGGGGGGCACAGGAGACCTTCTGTCTTCTGTGTCATTGTCACATGCCCGTGTGCCCTGGGCCTGGACCTCCCCCGAGGATTTCCCGGTGGCATATATGAAGCCTTCAGTCCCTCCGAAAGGGACTGTGAGCCTATGGTCACCGCCTCCCCAGACTCAGGCCCTCTTGGAGGGAGCGGGTGGCCTGCTGCCCTGAGCACAGGTAGTACCCCGCCCTCCCAGCCAGGAAATCTACTCCACCCTGCCCGCTGGTGTGCTTCTGGGTCCTCCGCTGGCCAGTGGGCTTGCTGGGTGGAGTGGTGCTGCCAGGGCTCCGGTGGCTCTGAATCGACAGCACCCCGTGCAGAGCTGTGTGCTCAGGAAGGGAAAAGTCAGATAAACGGCATCTTTGTTGCGCAGAAGGCCCAACCGGTCTTCCATGAATCTCTTCCAGGTCCAGAATGGTGACCAGAGCGGAGAGCTTCTGCCATCCCAAACCCACTCCCAAACCCCAGGGCCGGTATCGTTTAGGATTACAGACTTTTTCACATGGGTCACACATTCAGTGTGAGATGCCTGCTTGGAACTCATAAGCACACTAATACTGCAGTGAAACAGGAGTGCTCCCATGG